TACCACTCTGCAGATCCCGATGGTGGCCACGGTGCCCAGCCAGGGACAAGTAGGGGCCAGACCCTAGCCTGTTCACCACTCATCAAGCTCTGGGACCTGGCATGGGCATTATTGCATCTGGAAGGGAAGGCTCTTTTTTTTAAATTTATTTATCCAAAAGTGAGTCCACTTGTGAAGTCATGGGCCTTTTGGGCTAACGTGTGTCCAAAGAGGAGTCTTTCTAAATAGCATAAATGTGTGGCCAGTGAAGATCCTAGTGACCAAAGTAACCGGGGAAAAGAGGCTGGAAAAGGGATCTCACTGAGGATACAACCCTTTGACATTGCCCTGAAGTATAAACCTCTAGGTGGAGAGGCAAATGGAGAGAGCACTGGCTTTCTACTCTCGCAAGCCTGTGGCCCTCGGTCACTGGGGTAGCCCCTTGGGGTCTCAGTTTATTTTTGTAGCCAGTTCTTCTGCATCAGTTGAGTCACTTGTAGAAGTCAGCACTCTTAATTTATAAAATACAGCTCTTAAGAGACCAGAGCATCCTACTGGGATGATTGTTGGTTTGATTTACTCAAATATCACAGTTAATTTGACCCTTTCTATACTGGCAAACAGGTCATCTTTGGAAAATCCAATGGCCCTGAATTTCTGCAGGAAGTGTACACAGCTGTTACATACCATAACAAGTAAGTGTATCCCCCAGTTTTAAACATATGCCAAGCTTGTTTCATTATCTCCTTGATTTTCTGAATCTTCTAGGTGATTCCTCCTACCAGTTTTTTTAATTCAGGGACTAAGGGACAGAGATAGTCCATGCCAGTTCCCTGATTCTGTGTTGCAGACAGACAGCTTTTGCCAGTAACTGTAATCAGGAGAATGTGTCTTCAAGAACCTAATGCTGTTTTGACTTTTCTGGAACCTTCTACCCTAGTATGATACTGAGAGGTTTTATGCTGTTACATAAAGAAAAAAATGTGCTGCTTAGCTTCGAGATACTGGAGGGGCCAGAAGCAAAATCCAGTCCTCCTTGCTCTGTCTCCTTGTTTTCTATACACCACTCCACACCTGTGCCACTACCTACTTTAAGGTTTAAGTTTACCAAAGGAGAAATGGAATGCTCATTTTTATGTGGCTAAATTGAGTCACAGAATAATGTCTAAACTATTATTCACATTTTCAGGATCAGGTGGACTTGGCTTTGACCCCAGCTTGGTAACCTTGGCCCATATAAGTGCTTTTCTGAACCTACCCTCTTGGACTGAGATGAGGGTTAAATGAGTAATGTACATGAAGCCATTAGTAAACTCCTGGACTTCATAATTCAGTCAAATCAGGTCCCCTTTCCTTCCTGCATCCTTCATTTGTTTCCCCCAAATTTTTGTTGAGTGCCAGCCGAGTGTCATACCCTGTTCTTGGGATAGAAATAGAAAAGGAGGTCAGAGCACGACTCTACACCTCATCCCTTGTCCAAATTAAGTTGTTGGATTTTTCTATTGTGTGCAGGGAATTTTTTTTTTCCTGACAAAGCTTTTAGTTTGTGAGCAGCCTTATGTAAGTGAAGTGTCTCCAGTGACATAAGCTTGATCTCAGGGACTTTCAACTAGGAGCAGGCTGATGTAAAATGAAAAGTGAAACACCAAGCAGGCGAATCCTGAGGGGCAGAGGGTCCATGGCGTTACAATTTATAGTCAGAGAAGCCATCATTCTTGCTAAAAGTTATTTGTGTATAATGTGCTTTTGAAACAGGTCTCCTGACTTCTATGAAGAAGTGAAAATTAAGCTCCCTGCTAAGCTTACAGTAAATCACCACCTCCTGTTCACCTTCTATCATATCAGCTGTCAGCAGAAGCAAGGAAACTCAGTAGAAAGTCTCCTGGGATATTCAGTGAGTTGTTTTCAACTTGCAAATTCACACTGCGGTGGATGGTGCAGCCAGGGTACCTGCAGAGATAAGCAACTACATTCTCTTCACTTGCTTTTTACCTGTCAGACGTAGCAGAGCGGAGATGACTTGACTTAGCAAATGACAGTTTCAGGAATGAAAGGTAGTGGGTGATCGATATGGAAGAGTACTCATTTATAAAAAAATATTACAATGCGCATTATTTCCAAAGTGTGTGTGTCTGTGTGTGTGTATGCTTCACATATAAACATTACTTTTTCCTCCAAGGAGAAAGAGTTATTTCTTTAAAATATATAAAAGATAAACTGAACCTTGATGTTCAGATGCACACAAGCATTGGCTATAAAGAAAAAAATGCTACTAGTTTGGCTCTGAAAGCTGTGAATCATTGATAATACCATCTCAGGAGCTCTCAAGGAATTTAAAATGCAAAGAACTTGACAGAAATTACTGCCCAAAAGAGCCCTGGTCAATATCTAATCATCATTTAGTTGCCTTTGATTATTGTGAGCTAGATAAATTGCCAGAATTATATGCTGTAATAAATACCATTTTATTCTTTACATCATCTGTTTCAGTGGCTGCCTATTCTCTTAAATGAACGTCTTCAAACTGGATCCTACTGTCTCCCAGTTGCCTTGGAAAAGCTGCCACCCAACTACTCTATGCATTCTGCAGAGGTAATCAGCAAGCTGGCCATCAGCTGTTTCCTAATCCAGCCATGGTCTTGGACCACCTTTCTAGACCCACTTCCCATTTCTTTATACATGACCAAAGATGCTCAGTCCATTTTGGGCAGCTGTCATCTGTCAGCACAGGGTGTTTTCAGAGAGCACATTGTTCTGGTAGGATGGGAGAGATAACTGACTTTACAGCCTCATTCATTTAGATTATTACCAATTCAGAATGTTTGATAAATTCAGCCTGTACCAAGGCAGCATTGTACCTTGTATTATCTATAACAGAGAGAGTTTCAGAATAGTGTATTTTAAAAGGGAAGCAAATACAGCCCACTTGTGCTAACAGTTGCTCTCAGCTGCCTTCCTTATAAAAGGTTCCTGTGCCAGGTTCTATCAGTTTCTCTTCTGCGTCAGTTGTCCAGTCCTCAGGTGGATATTGGGGCTCTTATTCCTGTAAAGATACCAGTGTCAGCAGTCTTTCCCTCCTGTTTCCTGTGCTGCCTTCTTTGCCCACACATTCTGCTGCCGTCCACTCGTTTAAAGGAGCCCAGTGAACGCTCCCTTCTGCCTGCACCAGCACCAATTCTCATGCTTCTCGTTCTGGTTGGTGTGGGTTTACATCAATAAGAATTATTTTGAAACAGATACCAGACATCATTTCATTTCATGTATAAATATTTTAGTATTTTACCGTAAAAGATAAGGGATCTTTTTTAATCATCACAATATGATTGTCATACCTTAAAAACTAACAGTATTTTATTAATATCCTCAAATATCCAGTCAGTGATCAAATTCCCAATTATCTCATTAATGTCGTTTTTTTTTAACAGTTGTTTGTTTATGTGTCAGGATCCAGATAAACTCCATACATTGCTATTGGTTGACATACATGTCTTTTAAGACTCTTAATCTATAGGTTCCTCTTCATCTCTTTTGTTTTCCTTGTGTATTTCAAGTTGAAGAATTTCCCAGGAATTTGAATTTTGTTCCAAATTTTAGAGTCAACTTTCTTCCCTACTCTGGCTACACAGCTCCCATCCCCAGGCTATTGCATTTTCAGTTTCCTTTTTTTTCCCCCTGGAGAGAGAAGCTTCCTTTGCTCTAGGCCACAGACATATTCCCGGCTTTAGATCAAAACTGGTCTCAAATCACCTAAGATCAACCTGAATGTATTCATAGGCGTTCCCTAATTGCTTTTTATGATTTGGACATACAGCCCCTTGCTGAAGTCCTCAAAACCGTCTTTTCAACATCAAGCTGCACATTCTAATTTCCCAGAATAACCAATTATCTCTTTAATGATGCCAAACAAACCTGGATTTGGAGACAAACAAATCTCTATCCAAACCCAGATTCTGCCATGCCCTAGTGTGAACATGGGTGAATTGCATGTGACCCTGTGAACTGTAGCCCACCAAACTCCTCTGTCCATGGGATTTCCCAGGCAAGAATACCAGAGTGGGTTGCCACTTCCTTTTCCAGGGATTGAACCCATGTCTCCTGCATTGGCAGACAGATTCTTTACCACTGAGCCGCCTGGGAAACCCCTGTATTGCTTTAGCTTGCTGCAAACTCCAGTGTCCGCAGGAGTCAGACTCTTTAACGAATGCCAGTTCCTGGTGGAGTTTGTTCACGCCGGAGACTGTCTTCCCATACGAGGTCCCTTTGCTCTTCAAATCAGTGCCATGCTGGGATGCAAAACCAATGTCTTCATATCTTCCAGTTCTCAAAAGATGTTAGAAAAGCAGGCTTTCATGTGAATTTTTCTGATTTTCAAATGTTTGGCAGCTAATTCAACAAAGTTTCTAACACTGGGCCAAACAGCACTTGTCTGTGGGCTGGATCCAGCTTTGGGCCCCAGTTTTGTGGCTCTCTCTGAGATGGGTCCAAAGGTCCCCAACCCATGTATACGTCCTACCCTTGCAAGTAGAGCACGCACCCTTTCGTTAAGATGCAAGAGACACAAAGCCTGCACTCACATGGCTGGGTGAGCGTAGCCCCTCTTCCCTCAGTGATGTAAGATGACAATTCCCTCACGATTTTAAGGCAAGAGATGGTCTCTGAGGACTGCAGGGCTATTGACATATAAATGGTATAAAAAGTCATTTTGAGTAATTAAAGCAGGAGCCTAGAAGGACTGCTACTCAGATACATTTTGTTAAAAGGGAACAAAACTGCAGTCATTCAAAAGCATTAAAATTTCATGCCTTCTAAAGATATTCTACACTTTGTTCTGGCATTGTCCTGATTAATGGAGAAATCATTAGGATGTTACTTTAATTCGTAGAATCAGGATTACCAGCTGCTGGATGCAAGCTTGAATTTGACAGGTCACTCACTTCAAACCCCTCCTTTCAGCATGAGAAAACAAAGTCCCAGAGAGTCTCACTGACCTGTCAAAGTAAAAATAATTAGTTGGGTGTAGAACTGAACTTGAATCCAGGGCTCCTAACTCTAAGGCCAAGTTGTGTTTTCCAGGGATTTTTATATTTGTATAACCCTGATATCTACTGCCAAGTTGCTTTACTCTCCTTGTTAGTAATGAGAAGAGGGAATTGAATTGCTTTTATTTTTCCCTTTTAATACAGAAAGTCCCTTCACAGAATCCTCCCATTAAATGGGCTGAAGGACATAAGGGAGTATTCAATATTGAAGTGCAAGCTGTTTCTTCTGTTCACACCCAGGTAAGGAACATCAAGGTCAAGTTTAAATCAGAGCAAAAGGCTAATAATGAAGATGTGCAACAGAGAGACTCCTAAGGACAGGTCAATGAAAGATCAATGAAAAGGTTTGTGACGGATAAAACCAAAAAAAAGACCTTTTAGTTCTGTGTGGGAAATTGAAAACCTGTTAGGTTTTATTTAATGTTGAAAGAAATAAAGACCTTATAAAAATGTTGAAGCAGCCTGGTACCTTCGCTGTCAGACATTTCTGTCTGTAACTCTGCCATTTTTCCTCCAGCATTTTTTTCAGTTCTACTTTTCCCTTCTTTCCCTGCCACTGACTGAGTTTTGCATCAGCTTAGGCCCTTATTTTGGCAGTGTGTTTGCCTGGTNCAGAGTACAAATTAATTTTTCTTCAGTTAATAATTATTGAGAGGATCTATGTTGTGCACACCACTCTGCGAAGAAAGTCATAACCTGGGTCTGAAACATCCATGTCTTAGACCTTCTGCTCTGAAACATTAGATAAGTGGTTCTTCCTAGAAGTCGCTATTTGATTGTGTTTATGAATCCACCGGTGAGGGTTGATGGGATGAGACCCACGAGGCCTGCCATCTGCCTTCCCAGGACAACCATCTGGAGAAGTTCTTCACCCTCTGCCACTCCCTGGAGAGCCAGGTGACCTTCCCCATCCGTGTGCTGGACCAGAAGATCAGTGAGTCGGCGCTGGAACACGAGCTGAAGCTCAGCATCATCTGCCTGAACTCCTCCCGCCTGGAGCCCCTTGTGCTGTTCCTGCATCTGGTGCTGGACAAGCTATTCCAGCTGTTTGTGCAGCCCATGGTCATCGCTGGTCAGCCAGGTAGGAGGCCTTGGGGGCTGGGATGAGGCAGGCAATGCCTTATTTTAGAAACGTGGGAGCAGGGCCAGTGGGATCTATCGAGGCTGTGAGTCCAGAGGAGACCAAGTCCACTGCTTTTTTTTATTTTGAGACTCCCTGGGTGTTTGAAAAAAGAAACATTAATATAGGATGCTTAAAGTTATAGATTTTTTTTTTAAAAAAGAAATGTGTTGGATGACTGAAGGCAGTCCTTTAAATTCCATTCTTAGTCATTGATGGGGGCTTCCCCGAGGGCGCATCAGTAAAGACTTTACCTGCAGTGACGTGATGCAGGAGACTGGGGCTCAACCCCTGGGCTGGGAGGATCCCCTGAAGGACAGAATGGCTACCGACTCCGGTATTCATGCCTGCAAAATCTCCTGGACAGAAGAGCCTGGTGGGCTGTAGTCCATGGGGTCACAAAGAATCAGACCCAGCTGAGCACACCCACAGTAATTGATGGATTCCTTTTATCTCTGAAATATTTTTGCTGATTTGACAACAAGGGAATCCAGTGTTTTAAAGAAATGAGATAACCCAGATTAAATGGAAGTAAAGGAACACTGTAAATTGAAATTCAGTGTGTTGTGATCCATTTTTTATTGAGATATAATGTCATAGCATACCATAAAATTCACTACAGTGCACAATTCAGTGGTTTTTAGTATATTCACTAGGTAATGCAGCTATCACCACTACCTAATACCAGACCATTTTCATCAGCCTCAAATGAAACCCCATACTCCTGAGCAGTCACCCCATCCTCCCCTCCCCTCAGCCATGGCAACTGCTCATCTTAAATGCTTACTTTTAACAAATGAACCCTAAGTACAATGTGCAAGACTTCCTTTGGAAATAACATGAGGTAGTGCCTGGGTCCAGTGGCTTCTCTAACTGCTTCAGAAATAGACTGGCTTCTGTAGGCATCTTTGTTTGCCATTGTTTTCAGCAGGGCTTGTATTATTTTGTGCTTTCCAGCTTAGCAGTTACCTTTGGGTATCCTCCATGCTTCCAGTACTGTGCTTAGAGTTGTAGGTTTTGCAGTAATAATCAATAGGACTTGCAGTAAAATACAGCGAGGAGCAGCGGCACAGGACCCAAGTCCTCAAAGGAACACAGCTAAATATTTTCAGGGGGGATAGTGAGTATCAATTTGGGAGGAAGAAGGAGCCCCCAAGAAGACTGAGTTTAGGATGGCTTTAAAGGAGGGATAAAAGGAAAGAAGCCAAACTGGGAACAGTGAGATGAGATGAGATTGGCAAAAGCAGAGAACCAGAGTGTCTGGCTCACCAAAACAAGCGGTTCAGAAAAAAGTATCAAAATACACTTTTCTGGGAGTGTCATTAGAGAAGAAAATAACACTACCGGCCCATGTAATAGGATTAAGTTGGTGGGGAGGGAGTAATGAACGTGTAGCATGGGACATACAGGGGAACTTTCAGAGCTAGGGAAGAGCGTGACCTCTGAATCCCTGGGTGTATTGTATCCTGGAGGGCATCGTCCATACCTGCACGGACAAGGCATCCTGTGTTGTCAGGTAACTTCTCATACATGTAGCTGGTGCCTCTCCAGCTAGATTCCTGTGGAGTGGCCATGTCTTCCTTCCCTGGATTTCTTTCTACTTTCCTCCCCGACGTTTGGTACACTACTTTGTAGGCCATCCCCAGCTATGGACGCATTCGCTAGACAAAACATTCATACACACATTTTGAGCTGACATTTCGGACTCTAGAGTGTTGAATCAGGCAGAATAGTTGGAGGCGCTTATTCTCAAAGTATTTACTCAGAACTCATCTGTGTCAGGCATAATAGAAGGCATAGCGGGGAGACAGCAAAGTATGAGAAATGCACTTTGCCCTAGAAAGGCTTCCAGCCTATCAGAGAGACAGAGTTTGCCACTGGAAATAGTCTAAGAACCTTGTGCTATGGTGTCAATTAAGCCCGGGACCGAGTGGTGTCAGAGATCTCCTTGAGGAGATGGGATTGTGCCAAGCATTGAAGAGTAGGTATGGTTTTGTTGGTGGGAGCAACGTGGGCTTTCTAAGTGAGGGCAACAGCATAAGCAAAATTGCAGAAGTGAGAAGCAGTTGTGATGAGGACAATATAAAGACTGCCTTATTTTAAGGAAGTTGAATTTGAACAGGAAAGGGTACTAGGTGGAATAAGTAGGGTGGAGTCAAATTGTGGAGGGCTTGGGCTCCTAAACCCAGAGCCTATACAGTGAAGCATTGTTTGTACAGGCCCAGGGAGTGACAAAATACACGTAAGTTTTTAGGTTAATCTGTGTACCAAGAATCTGTGTTTCGCAACAGCCCATCTCAAACCAGAGTGTGCTTAAGAATGACCTGGGCATCTTGTCAAAATGCCAGTTCTGACTCAGTAGGTCTGGGGTGGAGCCTGATATTCTACACTTCTAACAGGATCCTAGATGATGCTGATGGTGTCAGGGCAGTCCCCACTGAGTAGCACTCATTTACTGCATGGTTTCCAGAGGGGAGGCTATCTGGACACGCTTGCATCTTTGTCCTGAAAAACCACAGCACTGGCAGAAGGAGAGATGTGAAGTCCTTTGCAGTAGCAGAGCCACATGCTGGAATATACTAGAACAACTCACCCTGCCCCAGGCCACCATCTTGACTGGCCTGGTTCAGCTGGTCAGTGGCCAGGACTCCTTGTCCCTGCCCCCAAAGAATGTTCCACCTCAAGTTCATCAAGGACCCACTGTGGGGCCACCCATTTTTCTCTTGGTTCCTCAGCCAACTTCTCTCAGTTTGCCTTCGAGTCCGTGGTGGTCACCGCCAACAGTCTGCACAACAGCAAGGGCCTGGGCAAGGACCAGCATGGAAGAAACTGCCTGCTGGCCTCTTACGTGCACTATGTCTTCCGCCTGCCGGAGCCGCAGAGAGACATGCCCAAGTCAGGTACCGCCACCCCCACCGCACTGCTGCAGGATTCAAAATAAAACTAGAAGCCCGGAAGTTACATTTTATTTTTCAGAGTGAGAGAAACTTACATGAATGTTGAAATTGCAAGTTTGTTTCTAGATTTTTCTGTCTTGCTTTCTATCAGCCTTCCTCCTCTTTTTTTGTACTCTGAGCACTTATTTTTTTTCTGCTTGTTTGATAATCCGTCACTGATCTTTACCCAGTTGGTAATTTCTAACCCAGCTGAGAATCTTTTTGTAAGAGCTAGGGAAGTAACAACAGATGCATAAGATTCTAGGAGATTAATGATAAGGAAAAAATATGTCTTTGATAGCAGTGGTAAGCAGTGGCTCCTAAACTTTACATTATGAAAAAA